GTCCTTGTGGGGTCCTGCTGGGGCAGGTGGCACGGGGGGGCCACTCCCTCCCACTGGAGAGGCCGCAGTGCCCAAGTCCAGCTCCGTGCTGTCCGTCCCATTGGCCGCGTGCTCAGCTGTGACACCAAGCAAGCAATAAAACAGCAGAGACTTCAAAGCTCACCCAGGCCTGGTCCTGCCGGAGTTCATTCGCTGTCTGGGGCTGGGGATGGGCACTGGGTGTCCCAAGCTGGCGTCAGGAGGTGGTGGCAGTCCTGGCTTGCAGTCAGAGCACAATGGCAGGACTGTGTCTGTGCCGTTTGACACAGCCCAGCCGTGGCCAGCTGAGCTCTGCGGGGATGGGCTCCCTGCCCTTGCTCCCACCAACAATCAGCATGGAATGGTTCAGATTGAGGAGACCTTAATGTTCGTCTTGTTCCACCTTCTGGCAGCCCAGGTTGCTCCAGGCCCTGTCCTTGAGTGCTTGCAGGGATGGGGATGACTATTCCAAAAGCAGTGGTTGATGCTGGGAGGCCCAGGACAGCCCTTCTGGGCTGTGTTGGCAGCTCCACACGTGTTCACCCTGTCCAAACCCCTATCAGTGCTTTTAGGTGGCACCTCTCCAAACGTGGAGTTCGTGCGTGCCCAGCAGTGCAAAGTAATTAACAGCTTTTCACCTACTCCCTGCTTTTTTAGCAGCTTGTGGATCATTAAACCTCCAGTTTGGCAGCTGCCCAGGTTTAATTGGTTTCCATCTAAACTCTTCACTCCCTTTCTGTGATTCTCCCGCTAGACCGGTGGGACAGACTCACGTCAGCCTCACTGCAGCTCCGAGTTAGAGACTCCACAGGGAATTGAGTTCTGGGGTTTTTTAAGTTATAAACATTGTGGTTGAGCAAATGAGATGGAAAGTGTTCTGAGAGGCACAACAAAGACAGAAATCCCTTTTTGGGGCAGGACTTGGGCTTCTTTATCAACTTAAATGCTTTCTCCTGTTCATCACACCCCTGGTTTTATGTGGTGTTTTTGAAGCTGAGATGGAGAGTGAAGTCTTTACCATCCCCAAAAACTTCCCCCTCCAGATTCTAGAAGGTCCTACTGCTCTGGGTGGTGTGATGGAGGGATCTAGGGGCACTGGGTATGTGGGGCAGGCAGCCCAGGCTCGGGTGCGATCAAGAGCCACAGCACAGAGGGCTCAGGTACCACCCTGGTGTGGACACCAGAGCCTGCCTCCCTTGCTTGGCAGAGGCCCTGCTGCTCTCCATGGAGCTCAGGAAACTCCTACAGAGATGGGGGAGTCAGGAAGCTGCTGCGGAGGTGTGTGAGGGGCTCCTGCAGGGATGGAGGGGTCGGGAAGCTGCTGCCTTCTCTGAGTGTGCAGGGGGTGCTGTGCTGTTGCTTTGACAGCTCAGCAGGATGTGCCCTGGATGGAAATGTGTCTGGGCAGTGCTGGTTGGTCACTAAAGCCACAAGGAGTCTTTATTTAGTCCATTCCTCACACAGCAGTTGAGGTTCTGGGAGAGGGGAGGAGTGGGACCCCCTCTGCTCTGGAGCCAGGCTGGGAGAGCTGGGGGTGTTCAGCCTGAAGAAGGCTCCAGGGAGACTTAAGAGCCCCTTCTGGTGCATAAAGGGGCTCCGGGAGAGCTGGAGAGGGACTTTGGACAAGGGATGGAGGGACAGGACACAGGGAATGGCTTCCCACTGCCAGAGGGCAGGGATGGGTGGGATATTGGGAAGGAATTGTTCCCTATGAGGGTGGGGAGGCCCTGGCACAGGGTGCACAGAGAAGATGTGGCTGCCCCTGGATCCCTGGAAATGTCCAAGGCCAGGCTGGACAGGGCTTGGAGCAGCCTGGGACAGTGGAAGATGTCCCTGCCCATGGCAGGGGTGGAAGGAGATGGTTTTTAACCTTTCAACCCACACCAGTCTGGTTCTGTGAGGTACTGACATAACCCACATGATGGACCCCAGAGAGGCCAATTCCCCTGGAGGCCTGGTCTAAGCCGGGAGGAAATGCTGGATTTGGGTTTCAGTGGGTCACAGAAAGATGTAGGGTAGAAGGGACCAGCAGAAGGCTTGAGTCCAACCTCCCGCTTAAGGCCGGGCTCCAAAGGTCAGGCAGATCAGAGCATTTTGGTGCAGAACTCTCTGAGAATGGAGGTCCCACCACTGTGGGTCTCGTCACAGCCACACAACCCTTGGAAAGATTATTCCTTCCCTGGAGAGATGGTCAGGCCCTGACGCAGGCTGCCCAGGGTATGGGTGGAGGTCACCACTTCTGTGGCACTTGGGGACATGCGTTAGTGGTGAACACGTCAGTGCTGGGGGAATGAGTGGATCTTAGAGGGCTTTCCCAACATGACCATTCTGTGATTCTCTGATTTTCCTTATGTGCCCCTGTGCCTGGTGTCTCATCTCCCTTCTCCGCAACCCTTCTCTAGACAGTGGAAAACTGAAGTTCAGTCCAGGTCCTCCTTCCTCCAGGCTGGTGTGTCTCTGGTGAGCTCCCAGCCCCAAAGGTCCCGGGTAAAGCATGTCCCGGGACAGGGAGCGTACCTCGAGGGTTTGCTCTGGGTGCCACACACCTGCTGACCTTGCACTGGTCACTCAGGGTGATGTAGGGAGTGACAGAAACCTCCATGGGGACATCAGGATGGGATCATGGTGGCTGCACATCCCGACAGAGGCGTGAGGGTGACTCGAGGAGGTGGTGGGACATGGCCCGCCGTGGGACTAGAGGTGCTTCTTGGGCATCGCGTGTCCGAGCTGCAGTGGGACAGCTCTGACCATCTGCTACCCTCTGCTGGTCAGCGAGCACAGCAGGGCCCGGCCGGGCAACTCACCTGTGCCCAGGTGTTATCCAGCTCCCCCTCGGAGGCAGCAGAGCCGCGCTGTGCCCAGCAGCTTCCAGCCCTCGGGGGCTGCAGCCTGGGACAGGGGCTGTGGCACCCGAACCTGCCCCCGAAGGGACAAACCAGAGGTTGCCCTGTGGCCGGGCACCCTGGAGCCTGGAGGTGCTGGCACCACTTGAAGGGTCAGACTGAAGCCTGCGAGCCCCGTGGCCGGTGGGAATGTGACAGCGCACGCCACCCTGCCACCGCTCTCTGTCACCTCGGGGATGTCACCTTGGGGCAGGGCTGAGCCCGGCAGCCCCGTGACCTGCTCGGAGGTCTCTCATGGATAGGATGAGCCGTGGGTAGCCCACGGAACAGAACCTTTGGCTCGCCCGCAGCCTGGCACAGTGAGCCCTGCTGGGCTGGTTGCGGGGCAGGAGCTGCTGTGTCCCCCGTGGGCAGCCTGGCAGGATGACACTGAGAATGAGCAGCTGGGGAGACGGGAGGGGAGGAGGACATTGCCAAAGCGCCTTCCCACGCAGGGCTGCGAGAGCATCACCTTCCCGTGGTGGCTGGTGCCTGGAGAGGAGGTGACTGCAGAGAGCAGGGGAGCGGGGGTGTCGGGCCTGGCTTGGCAGCCCTTGGCTCTCCTCCGGGCTGTGAGGATGGAGCTGGAGCTGGATGGGGAGCCAGAACTGCCCCCGGACATCCTGGCTTACAGAGCAGTGACAGTCCCGAAACTGCTCCCCCGAGCTCCCAGGGCTCAGCATCCCTGGAGCTGAGCGTTACCTGTGCGTGGGAAAACAGCCTCTGTGGGGGAAGCCACACCTCTGCTCTGCTCCTCCTGAGGGACTGGGGTGCTCAGGGTGACCTCCGGGGCTGCCTGACGTCAGGGTCTCCCGGGACACCCGGGATCTCTGCCAGCGTGGCGAGGTTGGCCCCAGGGAGCACGAACCAGTTCCTGGCTCCGCCAGCTGCCCTGCCCTCTTAATGAGGGATAATGAGGTGCATCTCATCAGCGCTGCAGACTTGCCCGCTGGCCACGGCGGCTGCCAGCAAAGCCCCTGGCAGGGAGCGGGAGTGATCGAGGGGCTGGGGCAGGAGGAGCTCCAGCCGGGGATGGGGTCTGTGAGGCACACGAGCAGGGTGGGCCGGGAATTGGGTGCTGGGGCAGTGGGAGCCAGGGGTTGATCCAGCCCAAGCCAGTGACCCCAGCACATTCCCGGGGGGATTTCTCCCCATTCCAGACTCCACCTGGGTGAAGACCCCACACCCTCAGCATTTGCAGGGACACGTCCAGCTGCCCAGCCCCCTGTGACCGTCACCCCTGGCAGTCCAGGGCTAGCACAAATCCCCAGATATGCTACTGGCAGCCCGGCCCGGCCCGGGGAACCCCTCGGTGCCAGGCGCTGGCACAGGAACAGACAGAGCTGCGGTGGCCGGGAACGAGACGGGCTGGAACGGAGACGGTGTTTGGCTGCCGGGGAGGGAGGATCAGGCACGACCGGGCTCCGCTGTCCCGGCCCGCTGCACAGCTCCTTCCCCCTGCACAGGTCACACGAGCCTGGGGGATGCTGCTCCATGCTGTGGGGCTTCAAATCCCCATCCCAAGGGATTTGTGGGATGGAAGCTCTGTGTGCTGAGGGTGGCCCAGCATCCTTGGGTGTGTGGCTGGGGGTGGGTGGCTGTCAGGGGTTATCCCCATTGCTGCTGTCTGTTCTCTGCTTTTGTCTCCCCTCCTGGGCTGAACTCAAGGGTCCCCACGGTGCCTGCCTGACTGGTGCTGTACCCACAGCCCCCTGTCCCAGCTGGCACTGCACCCCAGAACCCCTTGCCCTGGCACTGCAGCCCATTGTGCCTTCTTGGCTGGCACTGCCACCCCCGAGTCCCCCAGCCCCGGTAGCACTGCACTGTGTCCCCTGCCTGGCTGGCATTTTGTGCAGAGCCCCCTGCCCAGTCAGCCCTGTCCCCCACAGCCCACAGTACCCACTGACACTGCACCCTATACCCCTGTGCCCGACCCCAAGAGCTGCTCTTGCCCCTCCAACATCTGTCCCTGCTCCCCGGGCTGTGGTGCAGGAGTCCTCAAGCCCTGCCCCGGCACCGCTGCCGTGCAGCCCCATCCCACACCCTGCCTGCTCACACGAAGATCCTGAGGCAGCGCCTGCCCTCGGGCACCCCAGAAGCTCCTCCCGGGTGAAGCGGGGCTGCGCCGGGCCTGGCCGGGCTTCGCCTGGGCGTGAAGGGAGCCTGAGTGCAGGAGGGGCCAGGCGAGGCGGCAGGAATGCGAGTGGGAGAGCGGCCGGGCAAGTAGCGACAGCTCCTGGGAGCGCGGATCCCACACACGCTCGGGCAGGGAACAGAGCCCCAGCTCAGGGCTGGCGGCCGCAATGGGGCACCCCACGGCTCACCCCCTGTGAGAGCTGGAACCGAGGGTGGCGAGTCCCCGGGGGCAGCACGGCCACGGCGGGGTCCCGGCCCCGGGGAGCTCGGCTCCGGCGTGGAGCAGCTGGAATTCCCCCGGCGGGTGATGCCCGGCTAGGCCGGCCCGAGGTGCTGAGAGTCCCGGGACACCGAGGAGCCGCGATGACCCCTGAGAAGGTTCTGAGGGAGGGGGTGCTGGAGAAGCGGAGCGGGGGGCTGCTGCAGCTCTGGAAGAAGAAGCGGTGCCTGCTGACGGAGAAGGGGCTGCAGCTCTTCGAGCCCAAGGGCTCGCGGCGCAAGGAGCTGAGCTTTGCCCGCATGAAGGCCGTGGAGTGCGTGGAGTGGAAGGAGCGGCACATTTATTTCACTGTGGTGATGGACGACAGCCTCGAGATCGACTTCCGCTGCGCCCAGGAGGACCCGGGCTGGAACGCCGAGATCACCATGGGGCTCGTGCGCTTCAAGAACCAGCAGGCGATGCAGGAGGTGCGCGCCCGGCACAGCTGCCGAGCAGGTACCAGAGCCACCGCCGCGGGTCGGGGAGCAGAACCCACCCGAGGATGAGGTCCCTGGCTGCAGATTCCCGTCTGGGTGCTTTGGGGAATCACAAAGGGGGTCCCATGCATCGGGTGGGCCTGTAGGGTGAGGTTCCCATATCCCCCTGAACTGGCTGGGACGCCCGCAGGGGTTTCAGCTCTCTGTATCCCTGGAGAGCAGCTTTCTAAACATCCTCCCTCTGTCTGGGGTGGCCTGAGGGATACGGGGCCCTTTGCCATCCTGCCCGTGGGATGGGGTGGGGATGGGGGCTGGCCCCACTGCCCAGTCTCCTCAGGATGCCCCATATTCCAGCGCTGGCCGGGTGGGTGACAGGCTCCTTCTCTCCGCAGTGGTGCACTTGGACGCAGCTTCCCCAGTGGGGCACCCCAGGGAGTCGCAGCTTCCCAGGAGTCGGATGGAGATGGCCCTCGGCTCGGCAGGTGCTGGGGAGAACGGGATCCCTGCGGGCAAGTGAAGCCACCGCTGTGCAGCCCTGGGACGAGGACAGTGGCCCCGGGGAGGCTGGTGCTGGCGCTGGCTCCCCCCGTGCCGGGGCAGGACAGAGGCACTGCAGGAGCTGGGCTGGCACAGCCACCTCCCTTGGTGCAACGGGGCAAAGGACACAGGCAGGGCCACCGACTGGGACTTCAGACGAGGCAGGAGGTGACATCCCTGCCTGGGCCCCCGTCGCCCTTCATTCAGCTGACATGTACAGGACCTCAGTGCACTGGTGGGGAGCCCCAGGCCTCTCCTGCAGGACAGGGGATGGATGAGGCTGTGCCCGAAGGATCCACACGACAGAGAGCTCTGCCTGTGTGACAGTGACACTGGGACAGATTGATGTGGCCGGGGACATGGCTCCCCCTGGATCCCCATTTTCAGGAGGGGCTGGAAAGATGCTGCTGCAGCAGGGACCCCTCAGCAGGGCACTGAACTGATGGCATCGTGACACAGCCATGCTGCTGGACATCCTGTCCCCTTGAGGCCCTTAGGCTGTTGGGGAATGCTGGGGACCCCAACTCCCTGTACCAAAAGTGTCCCCAAACATGACTTTCTGCTTCTTACCCTGGTGTTGCTTTGATTTGTGGGACCCCACAGGGTATGGCAGAGCACAAATCCTACACAGAGCTTTGCCAGTCATGGGTATCTCCGTAAAGCAGCATCCCCCAGTCGAGCTCCAGAGCCCCCCACTGCCACCCCGAGACTCCCTGGTCACTAATCCCGCTGCGCCCTTGTCCCCAGGGATTCCCACGGTGGTTTGCGTGCTGGTGACGCGGGAGCAGCGCTGTGGCTTTGCAGGGAAGGGATGGCCCTGCCCCGACAGGCAGCGCAGACAGCAGTGCCTGGAGCCACCGGCGCGCTCCGCAAGCCGGAGCCTGAGCCCAGCCCGGGGCCGGAGGCGCTGCGGATCCTCCCGGAGATTTCGTGGCCGTGTGGGAATCACGGAGTGCCGTGCCCTGGTGCCCCGGACTGGGACAGCTGGCCCCAGCCTGCACTCCAGCCAGACCCCGCAGGGCCCACGGAGTCCCGTGCCTGTGCTAGGGCAGTGCCGGGCAGCTTTGGGGGCGGTGGCACGGCTGGAGCCTGCTCACCATGCCAGGCCAGGCTGGGCTGGCTCTGCTGGAACAGGCACTGGGGCGTTTTCCAGCCGGGGCAGCCTCCTTGGCCAGCTGGTCCTCAGAGCTGCAGTTACTGAGACTCCGGGCTGTGAGTGGGGAGGAGGGGTGAGGGCAGGCTGCAGGTGCAGATGAAGCTGGACCCAAACCCTGCCCAGATGGAGCTCTGCACCATCCCAGGGCTGTTACAGGGACATGGGGGGCTCCAGGGATGGTGAGACCTGCTCCCCTCCACAGGACATGCTCCAGCCGTGGAGCCCTGCATGGACAAGTCCCAGACCAGTGCCCTGCACACATTTCAGGAGGGAATGAGGTTGTCAGAAAGGTGCTGGTGCTCACAGAGAATTTCCAGAATAAAGATCATCATCCTAGGGTTTCTCCTAAATCCCCAGCTCCTGCTGTCAGGGGATTCAGTGAGACTGAGTCAAAGCCCTGCGAGCATCCCAAGCCTGAGCCATGGTGGGTGCCCGGGTGGGGAGCACCCAGTGCAAGAGGGCTCCTAAAATCACCAGTTTCGGGCAGTGTGACTCTTCTTTTTCAGTTTTTCTGCTCTCTTGCTCCCTGTAAATAGATATTTTGTGTTTTCCAGCTGCCAGCAAGGAACTGGCAAAGAAAATGATCAAGAGAGGGGTGTGTAAGCACCAGCTCTGGCTGTGGCACTTCCCCAGGCACCGATGACGAGGCAGCAGCGAGGCCACGCTGCTGAGAAATTCAGGCAATCAGTGGAGGGAAAAGGACAATATGAGAACACAAGTGCCTGTGTCAACATTTCAGATCCAGGCGCAGGGAAAGCCAGTCTGCATCCTGAGCCCGTCATCCAGATCCACACACAGCCAGGGTCTCCTCCTGGACCCCATATTCCCTAGGGCCAGCAGAGCTCCCCAAGCCCCCAGGTTTGGGATTTTCTTCTGCATGGACACCCACACCTGCCTGACCCACCCTTTGTGGCTGGATTCCCAGCCTGATCCTGGGGCAGGGGCTGGGGGTCAGAACTGAGCCAGCAAGGTGGGAGGGTGGGATTCATCTGCCTCTGGAAGGCCTGAATGTCGAATGTAGAGGAAAAGTCACCCCAAGATTGAAAAACAAATTAACAGCCAAGAGACCTAGCCAGGGGGCAGAGCAGGGCCACGACCAGAGACTGGAGCATCCCCCAGCACCAGGGATGGAGTGCCAGCACCAGGGACAGGGTGCCAGCATCAGGGACAGGGTGCCACCATCAGGGACAGGGTGCCAGCACACTCCCAGGCAGCCTGAAAAGCAGGAGAGCACCCACGGGAAGCATTTCTAATGCCCTCAGAGGTGGGGAAATTGAGGCACAGGGGGTGGAGGGTGGGTTTGTGGCCCCTCAGCTCTTCCAGCACATGGGATCCACTGGTGAGGAGGGGCTGCCAGACCCCCCCGGGGCCCCCAGGGAGAGCCCCAGAGAGGAGAGAGGTGCCTTGGAGCACCCTGAGTTCAAAGGCAGGAGCCTGAAAATCCAGCTCTGCTGCTCCCAGCCCCCGGTGCCCCGTCTCTATCAGCCCTCCCTGCACTGTTCCAAGGGTATTCCCAGTGCTAAGGCTGCTTTGGGGGGCTGCTTTCTGGGCAGGGGCTCTGCCAGAACCCACAGGGACAGGTGCCCTCCTTGCAGCACCACGAGAGTGCAGTGAGTGCAGGGAAGGCGAGTTTTTCCCACCTAATAAAATGCCAGGCCTGGCTTTGGGATCAGTTTGGGGCTGGCTGGACACCCTGAGTGCTGGGGAGGGCAGTGGGGTCACAGTGCTAACATAGGGAGGTATAGCCTAAGGGTGCCAATGCTTTTATCAGGTGGGACCATGTGTGGGACCTCTTCCATCACTGAGTGCCCTGCAGGGACCCTGACATTGCCCCGCTTCTCCTGGGACAATCCCTGAGCTTGTTGGTGGCTCCTCTTTAGATAAAAATAAAAAAAAAAAAATAAAAAAAAAAACCAACAAAACAAAACATCCCAGCTGTAGCAAGCGGTATTCTGCTTTTTAGCCTGAGGTCAACTGTCCAGCTTCCTCCAGATGCTCTTATATGACCATGCTTAATTATAATTCCTAAATCACTGGGTTTTGGTTTGGAGCCCAACCCCTGCGCAGAGCACTGCTGTGTCAGTTTGCCCACACTGCAGGGAGCTGAGGCCGGGATGTCCCCACCACTGCTTTGGGGAGCTTGGYCATCTCCAGTGAATCCTCTGGCACCGGGGTGAAGGAAGGAACAACTGACCTTGTAGCATGGAGCCCGGGATGCTGAGGGCAGGGACAGCAGGAATTGCACCTTAATTCTCCATCCTCAGTGTCCTGGTGGAGTGTCCTGGACTGCGTGCTCCAGGATGTTGAGGAGTGTGGCTCTGACATCTCCCAGCAGTGGATCTGAGGCTGTGGTAGCCCCCAGAAGGGCAGGGACTCACCAGGAGGAAACAAAACCAGGGCCCAGACATTGCTGGAGCTGCAGAGGGAACAACCAGCACATCCCAGCACTATCTGTCCCCAGGCAGGAGACACTGGAATGCTCTGAGGGTGCGGGTGGCCCATCCCAGCCAAAAGGGGATACTGAGATGTATCCCAGAGGCAGATAGAAAGGTCTGCAAATACCCTGGAAAAAATCCCAAACCTGTGTCATGGTCCCTGCCTGGGCCAGAAATTTTGGTTGGAAAAGTCTTTTTTTTTTTTTTTTTTTTTTTTTTTTTTTTTTTTTTTTTTTTTTTTTTTTTTTTTTTTTTTTTTTTTTTATAATGCAGAATATTTTGCCTTAGACTGTAAACCAGCCTGTTCTTTGTGATACTCAAACTGATGTCACTGCTGAGCTGTGGCTGCCACTGGCACAGAAGAGTCCAAATCCCCCTACTGGTGAGAAGAGCCCACAGGATCAGCCCTGGGAACGTTTCATGTGTCACTGGCAAAGCCACGGAAAGCTTAAAGTCTTCAGTGGATGGCTCAGCTCCATTCCAATGAAGTTTTTCCACTATCCCAAAGCAGGTAATCCCTCCTCATTTAACAAAGCCTTTTTCATGTGCCAGTGGCATAAGGCAGGAGCCTGTGCTGTTCCTAACAGGCACCTTTGCTTTTGGGGAGCCCTCCTCGGCTTTGGCAACTTCTGCAAATATTTCAAGCCTCCCCAAAGTATTTAAGCAGAGAAAAATAAGCTGTCCATGATATTTCTCAAACTGAAAGGTGTTTCTTGCATTTTGGGATAATTGTCCTGCTTTGGGGTGCAGCCCCAGAGCTGCCTCCCCACGGATTTGCTCTCTGTAGCCAAGTGGAAAGGGGGAGTCCTATACCCGTGGATGGCAGGGCTGGCATAGGCACAGCCCTAAACTGCACCAGGCCCAAGGGGGTGTGCAGGGTTTGGGGCTCTCAGAACAGGGGGCTGTGGCTGCAGAAGCAGGACATGGAGCAGCTTGTCCCAAAGGGATGAGAAGCCTCTGCCATGTGGGCAGTGGGAGATGGGCATGTCCTGCTGGGGCTGATGCAGTGGGGTGAAGATCAGCGGGACAGATTAGCTGGGAGAAGGCTCTCAGCCCCATGGGGCATATTTGGGGTCTGGCCTGGGGCTGTGCTGCTTCCCAGACCAAGCTGTGATGATTATTCAAACCCAGGCCCACTCTTCATCTCCAAGCATTCCTCAGGTTTGGTGGGACTCGTTCACAGAGGCAGTGGTGTGAGAAAATCCCCCCAGGGCTGCATTGGCTCTTGGAGAAGCATCCTGGGAGCTTCCACTTGCACTGTCACCAATCCACGGAGCAGGTGGGACTGGCTGGATCCCTCTGGCAGCTCAGGAGGGGTGACAGCTGCTGGATGATCTGCAGGAGAAACACCCAAGTGGGACCATTCCTCAGGACAAGTCCTGTGGCCCTTCACAACTGCATTGCCACCTGACCCTGCCCCCTTGAATCACCTGGCCTGGGGGGTGACCTCGCTGTCCCCTGGTCCCTGAGCTGTCCCACAGAAAGAAAACCTTCTTCCACACTGTGGTGGGTCTCTGGGACATCGTCTGTCCCAGTTCAGTGACAAACCTGGGGCAGCTGGGAGTTCTCCTGTCACCCCCCACCCCAGCACTGGGGCTGGCTGTGAGCAGGGCAGTGACAGGGGATGGATGTGAGGCTGAGTCCCAGAGGACACCAGAGGCTCAGCCCCAAAGGACACCAGAGGCTCAGCTGTTGTTTCTAAGTCTGTCCTGGATGTCCTGGGAGCTGTTGTCTTTGTGAATTCCGTTGGGGTTGAGGACGGTGCATGGGAGGGGGCGAGCACAGGATGGGTGGAAAGGCTCCAGAGGAGGGGAAGAGATCCCTCCAGCATTGCTGCAAGTCCATTTCCTCATGGAGACTGGCTTCATGTGGGGCAGCTGGACTATTCACAGGACTCAGGTACCTCTGCATTTGGAGTGTCAAGACCTCAAGGAGCCAGGGACCATAGGGCAGCTCCAGCAGCCCCTGCCATGGGTGTGGGGCTGAGGCACCAACCATGAGGATATACCAACATCCTCCAGGGACTTGGAATGTCCGGAAGGAGAAACTGCTCCATCCATCTAAACACATTACAGCGTTCACTCGTAACTGTGACTCGTAATTTGTGACTGTAGGTCACAGGGACATTTTGGGACAAGCAGCTGTCCCTGGAGACCTGCTTCTGGCTGGGTGTGACCTGCCCATACAGCTCTCCAGGAATTTTCTGTCAGCATCCATCCCTTTGGTGGCAGCCCATGGGGAGCCCTTCCCTTCAGCCAGTGGCTTCCAGTAGCAGGGGCATATTGGATTTGTAGCAGCAGCAGCAGCACATGGACAAATCACAGAATCGCAGAATAGTCTGAATTAAAAGGGATCCACAGGGATCATTGAGTCCAACTCATTGAGTCCAACCCAGAACCATGACCTGGGTGTTGTCAGCACCCAGCTCTGACCAACTGAGCCAATCCCACATATATTTCTATTATTTTGCTCTGAATTTACTCTCAGCACTGCTTTCCCCTGCAGATTTCCAGCCTGATCCTTCCCACCCCCAGCAGCTCAGAGTGGTGTCCAAAGCCCAGGTGGTACCTGATAAAACAACCCCTCACCTGGAGGCAGCTCCCTGTGGCTGTCCCTGAGCCAGAGATGAAGATGGGGACTCTGAATATCCCCTCCATGTCAACTGGGGAGAAGGGAGGGGAGATCTCAGTCCTCTGCCAGTCCTTTAGTGCAGCCCCCCTGACAGAGGTGGGGCTTTGAAACCAACGGGGAAGCCCCAAATCGAGGGGTCCCATTGCCCCACTCTGCTCCTGCCCTTTCCTCCTCCTCACTCCGGGTCCCAGCAGAGATGAAACCTGAGCCTGGAGCAAATGCCATCCAAAGCAGCCTTCACCCCATCCCCAGAGCTGCGGGAATGCAGCGCCTTTGTCACGGGCTAATTTTGGCTCCTCTGTGCTCCGAAAACAATCCCAAGGCATCCGGGAGGAAAGATGCTGGAGGCCTGGCCCCGCGGGGTCTTTTCCTTATAAAGGTCTAACGGGGCTGGTTAAAGCCTCCTCCTCCTCAGGGGTGAGAACAGCTCCTAGTGCTGGCATTTGGAGCCAGGGAAGGGTCCTTGCAGGGGTCCCTCGTGTGAGGTGGGTGCAGGGGGTTTCTCCCCTGCCCACGGGACATGCTTGGTGCAATTCACACAAGGATGGCACCACCATTGCCGTTGCCACTGTCACCGATCTCCCACCAGCTTGTGGGGAACCCCACAGCTCCCGTTGGTGTCCAGGCAGGGGGAAGCTGGGAAGGCTCTGCAGGATGGGGGCTCTCTGTGCTTCCCACCATGGAAGCTGCCCCACTCCAGCAGCTGCGTGTCTGTCCCAACCATAAAAGGCCCAGGATTAACATGCCGGGCATTGTCCCTGCTGGGCCCCTTGCTGGGAATTGTTTGCTCCTAAATTTGTCCCTGAAAATATCCCAGGGAACAGGTGTTGCCTGCTCTGCAGTCCGTGCTATGCAAAGGGGCTTTGTGGGGAGCAGTGGGGACAGACAGCAGCCTTTTCACTGCTTTTCGAGAATTTCATGGGGACAACATCGGGGCTTGTGAGAGGCTGGGAGCTGCTTGAGCATCCCAAGCTGTAGAGCTGCGCTGGGTGGGTGGGGCTGGTCCTTCTCCTGAAAGAGGGGACCATGCCGGCCTGGCTCCCACCCCCCTGGCCTGCAGTGTGACCCCACCTTTGCCGGTTTACTCCATCACCCCTCAGCAACGTGACCTGGCTGGGGTCCTTCTCCTGCTCTGGTTGCTCTGGTGGTTCCCAGGAGGCCCTTAGGCCAGTGCTGTACTGTGTGTGCCCCATGGCACAGGGGTCAGCACGGCAGCAGTTCCCAGGTTATTCACACCCCCTCCCTGCCTGTTCCAGCATCTCTGGAGCTCTGTCACACCAGAGATGTGCCAGGAGCACTCACCCCATCCCCATGGCATCACCAGCACTGGTCAGCCTGAGCCTGTCTGTGTGTCCCCAAGAACCCTCAGGTGAACAGGTACTGCCCAAGCTTGGGGTGTCCAGTACCAAAGAGGCTCCAAGAGAGCTGGAGAGGAGCTCTGAGACAAAGAATGGAGGGACAGGATAAGAGGGAATGGCTTCCCACTGCCAGAGGGCAGGGTTGGAAGGAATTGTTCCCTGGGAGGGTGGTGAGGCCCTGGCACAGGGTGCCCAGAGAAGCTGTGGCTGCCTTTGGATCCCTGGAAGTGTCCCCAGGCCAGAATGGACAGGGCTTGGAGTGACCTGGGGTAGTGGAAGGTGTCCCTGCCCATGGCAGGGGGCGGAATGAGATGATTTTTTTAAGGTGCATTCCGACCCAAACCACTCTGAGATGATTCCCATAAAACAGCCTTGGAATTCTCAGAACCAAAGGGGTGTTGTGGGTGTCTGGGACATGAGTGCAGTGACACACAGGTGACTGTATGTGTCCCCGTGTTCCAGGCAGTGCCCCAGGTGTGAGCAGCAGTCCCAGCACTCCCGGGGCTAGCAGCAGACGCCTGCAGAGGAGGGGATTTGTGCTATTTTTACCGACCACTTGCAGGCAGGGCTGGGATTCAATACCTCCTTCTTGGCCACAGCCCCGCCAGAGCGCAGCTGTCCTGAGGCCAGGCATCACCTCCCTCCTGCACAGCCAGGTAAGGCACAGCCCCTGCCCCATGTCCCCCCCAGGGGTGCTGGTGGTGACACGGGCACGAGACCCCCGGCATTTGCACATCACAGAGGAACCCGCAGCACGTGAATTTGACTGAATCTCTCCCCCTCTCTGAGGTGCATCAAGCATTCCCTCTGCTCTTGGAGAGAGGATTGCGCCTCTTGATGAGGCTGCAATGGGGACAAAGATTTTGGAGCTGGTATTTGCCTGATTTTTTTCCCCAGAAACTGGCAAACAGGACAGTTTGGGGAGCACTTGCCTAAGTGTCCCAGCGTGGCTCGCTGGTGTGAAGTTCAGGGTGGTAGCAGAGTGTGGAGTCGTGGTAACCAGGAGAGCGCTCGTGGTTTGTCTCCAGTCTCCTGGGATGGGGGGAAGATGTTAGGATTGACTGTGTTTGGGTTTATGGGATTATTTCTTTAAAGGATTTCCATGTTCTGGTGGTTCAATAAGCTTTTGAAGCTTTTCACAGCCAGGACAGTACAAATAGGGCAGAATTAACTTCTCCAGGTCCTCTCATCCCCATCAGGGAGCAAAGCCTCTTGTGGATGTTCCAGATCCAGCTGGAGTCCAAAAATCCTGGCACTGGGGATTGCCAGGGATGTCTCACTGGCACAGCCAAGTCCTGGCTGTCATCTGGGAAGCCAGTTTAGGACTATTTGGCCCCAAAACTTGACTGACCTTGGTAGAGGTCATGAACTCGAGGCATGGTGTGGATCCCACCCCGAGGAACGCTGAGCTCTGCTCCAGCGGGGGACAATGGAGACGCTGAGAGGCTGCGCCCAGCCCTTGTCAGCTCCGGGGAGAGAAAGGCTCCTCTGTCTCCCCCAAAACAAACTGAGGGCAGCAGCTGGGGCCCGACCTGCTCAAAGCACCAGTGCTGCCTGCTGTCCTCTGGGATGTTGGCCACAGCAACAAAACCCTCCACAAAGGCAGGAAATGGGATCTGTCTGATGTGGCTTTGAAGACAAAGAAATTCTTGTCCTTGGGATTTTCTCTTGTAAATCCAGTGATCTGGGAGGCTCTGGGGGAGACGATTCCTTCTGGGATTTTATGGCATTCTCCCCCCGCCCCCCCCTCCCCCAAGTCCACTTGTTCAGGAAACAGCTCTGGCTGAGCTGCAGGGGGCACAAGGAGGGAACTGGGACAATGGGACAGAGCCAGGAGGTGCTCTGAGATTGGCTTGACACAGGCCCCACACAAATCTGGGAGCAGCTGTTTGAGACCAGTTTGCTCTATTTCATTTCCCCCAACAGGAATCTTTGGGGTCTAAAGAATTTTCTAAATTTCAGGGGATGGAAAAGGATCAAGTCACAGAAATTCCGGCTTGGCCATTTCCTAAGAAGAAGGACTAAACCCACAATAGGAAAACTCTGTTTGAGGGGAAAAAAATTAAAAGGATTGGTATTTCCCCCTACATTTTTCTGCTGCTCAGGCTCACAGGATGCTCCAGCTGCTCGGCACAGGAGGGGTCAGCGGGATCAGAGCAGGACCAGGGCAGCAGCATGGGCTGGAGCAGCTGCCAGGGCTTGGGATCACCAGGCAAATGTAAAATAGGAGATCCCGCATGTTTTACCCAGAATATGGCTGCTGTTCCACCCACTGCCATGGGCAGGGACAACTTCCACTATCCCAGGTTGCTCCAAGCCCTGTCCATCCTGACCTTGGACACAGGGATCCAGGGACAGCCACATCTTCTCTGGGCACCCTGTGCCAGGGCCTCCCCACCCTCACAGGGAGGAATTTATTCCCACTTAACCCTGCCCTGGGGCAGTGGGAAGTCATTCCCCATTGGCCTGGTACTTCAGATCCTTGTCCCAAGTCCCTCTCCAGCTCTTTTGGAGCCCCTTTAGGCACTGCAGGGGGTTCTCAGGTCTACCTGGCACCTGCTCTTCCAGACTGGACACACCCAGCTCTCCCAGCCTGGCTCCAAAGCAGAGGTGTTGCCCCTTGTTCCAGCAGTCCTTGGATGGGTTTTGGCTCTCCCATCCCTGCTGTTGGCCATGGGAGCTGCAGGACAGGACTCCCTGAGCCGACATAGTGCAGGGAGCCCCGAGGCACCTCCGTTTCCCCTGAGATTTCCAGACTCCATCCCTTGCCCCGAGCTGGGGCGGGCGACGCAGCCGGCGGGGGAGCAGCTCAGAGCTTGGGAAAAGCCCCAAGGAGCAGGAGCCAGAGTCCTGCAGGGCCGGCTGGCGGCACGCTGGAGCTTGCCCGAAATGCAATCAAGTGTTCGTGGAGCCGGGAGGCTCATCCTGTGCTCCACAACGGGATGGAGGCTGCGGAGCTGCTTCCTTTCGCGGACAGCACGGGGCAGCACCGCACCTCGGCACTGCTCCCTTCGCTGCCGCCTGGCTTTGTGTACAGCTGGGATTCGCATCTTTGCTTCATGAAGCTTCTTTCCCTTTTCTTTGGCAGGGAACAGCACACGCCGCGATGCCAGAGCTGTGAGTAGCTTGGTCCCCTCAGATCATCAACCCTCATCCCCATCAACCCTCGCCCGGCTGAGCTTGTCCCTTTGGGGAGGATCATCTGGGAGAGCCCGCCCTGCCCCAGACCTCTGGGCCATTCCCCTTGCAAAAACTGACTTTAAATACAAATTGTTCACCCTTGCAATGTCCCAATTCAAACCCTGGATCTTTACGAGACCCCAAATTGTGGATTTGCCTCTGGATTTGCCGTGAGGCTCTTTGTAGCGCGTTGTACAAATGCAGCAATTCCCTGGGAAGCAGAGAAGGGAGAAACTCCCTGCAAAGGTTCCCTGAAGCAATGACATGGGGATGTCCCAGCCTGCAAACCTGAGCAGGATCTGAGCATCCTGCCCCAGCTGCAGTGGCCGTGGGGGAATGAGGATGTCTGAACTGCAGGGACTGAGTTTGGGCTGGCACAATGGGCACAGTGCCAGCTCACCTGTCACAGCTGAGTGACATTTTGGCTGTCTGAGCTGTGGCCCTGAGCTCTTGCTGCATTTACAGAGGGCACCATCACCTCAGACCTGGCTCACGTGCTGGTGGCAGCTGTGAGATACAGAAATAAGGAACCAACCGCAACACGAGATGCTTTCCTTGACTGTCCCCTCTTTTTTACTCTCATCCCCTGATGCCTTGTTCTCTTCTCTTATTTTTTCTGCTCCTCCCTGGCTGCTCACCCACCTGCAGGGAGGTAAGTGCCTTTCCCTTAGGGAGAGATCTCAGTGCTGTTCTGCATTTGCTGTGAGTTTGTTTTCAAAGGGTGTTTTCTTTTCCCTCCCCTTTCCCCTAGAGAAAATCCAAGATCACAGCCTCACGCAAACTCTTGTTGAAGGTGAGTCCCAAGGGCTGGAAACTCCCYGGGGTTTGTCTTGCTGGAGGAAAGGGGCTGGGTTGGAGTGTGTGGCTGGAGGGAAAGGGATGGGGAACAGCACAAGGATGGGCTGTGGAGAGCAGCTCCAACCCCACCTCTCTCTTCTCACTCATGTGGGATCTGTGGTCCAAACAAACCTCCCCTTCACTGGGGTGGGGAGAGACCCCCACACGTTCAGCTCTGAAGCCTCAGCCCCTGTTTGTGCTCCAGCACGAGCCTCCCCAGGCTCTGGCTTGGGATAAACATTCCCTGCCCAGGCAGAGCCAAGGCAGAGCCAACGTCAGCACCCAGCAGGACCACAGCCCCCACAGTCCCTGGTGCCATGGCCCTGCCTGCCTCCGGGGCCCCACACCAAAGCTGTGGGGAGGCTTTGATGTGTGTTTGGGGACAGCGGGAAGGGGGCTGGCACACAGGACTGTCCTGTCCTACAGACATTGTGTGGGTGGCTTGGGGGGAACCAGGAGCTTGCTCAATTCACACTTCTGCCATTTCCTCGTGCTCACAGAGTTTGATGCTGGCCAAAGCCAAGGAGGAGTGGGATCAGGAGATTGTGGACAAGCAGGCAGAGAAGGAGAGGTATCTGTCTGAGCGGGTCACTCCACTGCACACCAGTGGGCTCTCCTTGAGCCAGCTCCAGGTACTGCTCAGGCCCGAGGGTGGAGGGAGTTCCTTGGGACCACGGAGGGGCCTCGCTTACCACTCTCGTGTTTTCCTCGGCCCCCAGGACCTGTGCAGGGAGCTGCATGAGAAGGTGGAAATTGTGGATGAGGAGAGATATGACATCGAAGCAAAATGCAACCATAACACCCGGGAGGTAGGAGGGAGGGTGCGCTGCTTCCTTCTGGAAACTCCCACCCAGTGGCAGCTCTGGCCTCAGTGGGGATGTGCCACGGACCAGGCTGAGCAGCGATGTGGGACAGGCACAAGGGTTATCTCAAAGCTGGGGTTTGCATTGCAAGGTACCACTCAGAGCAAGGTTCATCCCTGTCCAAGGGCACTCAAAATGTCCTCGGGGTCCACAGAAAGATGCCTCACTCTCCTGGTCACCCTTGTGGGTCTGAGAGCTCCCCATGGTACAGCTGCCCCCTGAGCAGGCTGAGCCCAGCCCATGGCTCAGCTCTGAACCTGGGTGGACAAAGCCATGGTGGGGGTGGTCCTGCAGGAGAGGTGCACCCTCTGAGGCTCGGTGCTGGCAGAGCCTCCTGCTTCCCACAGGGGCTCTGTGTGCAAGACAGCCAAGCACTGACCTCCCACTCCTCCTTTTCTCCTCCCTATGCAGATTAAAGATCTGAAAATCAAAGTTCTTGATCTTCGAGGGAAGTTCAAGCGCCCTCCCCTGCGCCGGGTGCGTGTCTCAGCCGATGCCATGCTCAGGGCTCTGCTGGGCTCCAAGCACAAGGTGTCCATGGATCTCAGGGCCAACCTGAAGTCTGTCAAGAAGGAGGATACAGAGAAGGTGGGTGACTCCTCTGGAGGCTGGAGATGGACACACTTCCCAGGGGTGCCCTTGCCCTTTTCCAAGGTATCCTGTGTTCACTATGTGTCAGCCTTGGAAAGAGCCTTGTGAGGCAATTCCCTTTGTGGGATGTTGTAGGACCACACAGGACAAGTTTGACTGGGCCAGACAACTGGTGGATGGTAACATGGGAGATTTAGGGCTGTGTCTGTGGTGCTCTTCCCTCCCAGAGCATATGGGGGTCTCTTACCTGAGCCTCCCTGCTACCACTGTTGAGCTGCACATGCAGAGTTTGGTCTTGATCTTGTAGGGAGCCAGGAGAGCTCCTGTTGTGCACAATCACACTCAGAAAACTCCCAGGGAACTCCCAGACCCAGATTAGATAAGACAGAGCAGCCCAGCAAGCACCCTTGGCTTCAGATAAATGGCCCAATTCCCACCAGCTTGGCAGAGGTGTGACAGGGGAAAGTCTCAATGCCAGCGATGCCCAGACCCACCTGGGATATGCAGGTGCCCTGGCAGCAGGAGCTGTGCCTCATCCCCAGGGCTTCCCCCCACAGGGGTTTCACCCTTTGGTTCCAGCTCAGCAGATTGGATGAGAATCTCCCTTTTCAGCTGTTTTTCCTTTGTTCCCCCATTGCTGGTACAGCAGTTTTTCAGTCCTTTTGACAGAAAACTGTGCTTACAGCCCTGGGCACCAGGTGGAGAATGGATCTGGGTTTGTTTTAGATGTTGTGAGATGGTGTTGGGGCACAGTTTGTTATCTATGAATTCTGGGGGGTGGCAGAGCAGACACCTGGGCATGCTCCCAGAGCTGCTGTCACCTCCCCAGAGCTGCTGTCACCTCTTCTGTCTGCTCTGGAAATGTCTGCCAGGCTATCACTGTCACACCAGCAATCCCAGTGGCCTCCCAAAGGCTCAGAGCAGGTGGAGGTGGGGTTGATGTGGGCTGGGAGGGCAATGCAGGAAGTGTTTTTACTGACATTTGCCCCACTGTGCTAATGTAAACCCAAAGTCCCACGTGGTTTCTTCCTCCTAAAGAATTTTTTCTGGGATTTTTGTGCCTTCTGGTGCATGAATGCAACTTAGCCAGGCTTTGCAGGGGGAGAATCCACATGGATCCACGCAGATCCAGATGTCCCTGTGGAGATCAGGCCACTCTCCAGGCAGCTCCTCGGGCAAGGACACATGGAAGAGGGACAGGGGCCAGCTGTGTCCCCCAGCCCAGGGCTCTGTGCAGGACAGGGGATGGGCCAGGGCTGCCAGACCCTCCCTGCTCCATGGCTGTCCCCCCCACAGGAGCGCCCGGTGGAAGTGGGCGACTGGCGCAAGAACGTGGAGGCCATGTCAGGCATGGAGGGCAGGAAGAAGATGTTCGACGCTGCCAAGTCCCCTACGGGCCAGTGAGAGGTATGGCTTGGTCAGGCCCCCCTGGGATCCCTCAGCCTCCTGGGCTGTGCTCGGGGAGATGCAGAAATGCCCCCGATCCCCACAAAAAAAGGGCATCCTCACAGAAATCCCCACAGAGAAAGGCATCCCATCCCCATGTCCCACCCCACACTTGGCTGGGGGTCTGTCCCACACCTCCCAGCCGTGGGGTCCCAGCCAGCCCCTTTCCTCCTGTCCCTCTGGGTTGCTGCCCATGCCACCCTCACCCCATGGGCATTGTTGCCACCTTTGCCAGGCTGCTGGCAGTGGCCAAGGCCACCTCCTCTGCCCCTCTGTTGTTTCTTTTCCACAGGAGCACCGGGAAGAAGAGCATTCCCATCCCTGCTGCCAGACTTCCCTCGTTGCTCCCCTGTCCCTTTGTGCCCCCCCTTGCATACCCATTTAGCTGAGACACCAGGACAGCGCTGTGGGCAGGGGGCCTGAGCTTCCTCCTTCCAGCACCGCCCTCAGCCCTGCTCCTGCGCGTCGTCCCCATCATCAGCTGCACAGGCCGTGCTGTCCCCAAGGACCACTGGCCACCTCTCCTGTCCCAACCCTGCAGAGAGGCTCAGAGGCGGCTGCTGCTCCTCCCTGTGCCCCATTCCCTGTGGCTCAGCCCCGAGATGTGTCACTCCGAGATGTCCCCATGCAGCCATATGTGTATTAAAGGACATGTCCCGGGCCGAGGTTGCGTGGGCTCATGTCTGGGGTGGCTCTGCCCAGGGGCAGGGACAGGTCACCCCTCAATGTCCTCGTGCTGGCACTCAGACACCGCACCCTGGGCTTACACTGGCTCCGGGCTCATCCTTTCCAGCCCCAGACTGCTCCTCATGTCCCAGCAGCTCCACTGAGCCCACTGGCCTTTTGCAGGGCCACCCTCACTGGGTCTGTGCAGGGCCACCCTCGCTGGGTCTGTGCAGGGCCATCCTCGCTGGGTCTGTGCAGGGCTGCCCTCGCTGGGTCTGTGCAGGGCTGCCCTCGCTGGGTCTGTGCAGGGCTGCCCTCACTGGGTCTGTGCACGGCCACCCTTGCTGGCCACATGCAGGGCCGCCCTCGCTGTGCCTGTCTGTGCAGGGCCGCTCTTGCTGGCCGCAGGGCTGCAGCAGCTTCTTGACCACTGGGCTTGGTCAACAGAGCTGCCTATTGTCCAAGGCCCACTGCTCCTCTGGTTTTGGAAAAGCCCTCAGAGCTCCAGATCCAAACTCCCTCATGGCTGCCCCACCACAGGCGCTGCGTCTGTGGGAATTGGGGCAGCCCCAGTTCAAGGCCCAATTCCAGAGATGAATCCATATTTCAGGGCCAAAGCTCCCATGCTTCCTCCCCAGCCCAACCATTTCCTGAGCCACAGCCCCCCAAACCACAGCTGGTCTGTGAAAGTAGCTGGGGATGTGTCAAGCAGGGCTCAGGGGCTCATTCCCAAGCTGGGCTCGGGGGTGAATTAGTGAGAATCCAAACCATACTGTGTCTCCTGGCTGGCTGTGCTGCTGAAGATGCTCAGCCCACACACCTGGAGTGCTGCTCTTGGTGGCTGCAGCAGTGCCTTGTCCATGTTCCCAGGGTGTCCACAGGAATCACAGCATCCATGGATTCACACCCACACCGCACCCAGGTGTGCTGCAGCACCCCCCATGCCTTTGGAGTGAGCCTGTAAAGTGCAGAAAATGCAATAAACAGGGAACAAAGGGCAGGTCCTGGACAGGCCTGGGAGGAAACAGCATCAGGAAGTCTGCAGGCTCCAAGAGAGATCTGCCTTCCCAGGAAAACATAGCATTCCCTGAAGGAAGAGGTGGGAAAGGGTGGCCCCATGCAGATGGCTCCTGCAGGACTGCCTACAGCAAACCCATGGTTGGCAGTGGGAGTGAGGGAGAAGCTTCGGGAGGTGGTCTGAGCTTGGCTCCAAGGCAGCTGAATTCCTCTGGCATCACATCCCTTCCTTTGGCCCATTCAGGAATGCTGAGCAGAGCCGCTCACTGTCGCTGGGCACAGAGGATGAGGGAGGAGACTGCTGGGGACACTTCCCTAGTCCAGCCACCAGCATTCAGGCTGCCAGAATATCCTGCAGCTCCTTCATGGAGGATTCAAAACTCAGATGCAAACTCTTCCCCAAATCAGGGATAGATCATAGGAGGCTGCCAGCTGGAAAATGCACATTTACTCCTTTGGCTCAGTCTTTGGGGTGCTCACTCCATGGCCTTCCACCTGATCCTTCATCCCCTAGGCATCTTCCCGTAGGACTGCCAAGCATACAGAGCCGATTCTACCCATTTTTTTATTTTTTCAAGCTTAATTCAGCCAAGAAGCTGCAGCCTAGCAGCATGCCAGGCCTCCCTTGTCCTCATTCCCAGCACCCCAGGACAGGCTCCAGGCACCTGCAGCCCTGGGAAATGTCTGTCTTGGCCAACAGCAGTGACTCCGCTCCCAGAGGTGACCGGAGAAGGCGTGTGGTGAGATCCCAGGATCGGCCAGTGCTCAGCCCGCCCCACACTGGAGGCAGAAGGTTTTGGTTCCCAGCTCACCCCTCCAAGCTCAGGACCCAGGCAGGACTGGTGCCGAGGCAGTGTCCTGGAATCTCTCCGTGTATCCCCAGAGGGAACTTACACAGGTCCTGGCAGAGGAAGAAAGATGTGCAGGGAGAGTTAATAACTGTGACCTGACTGACTGGTAGAGCTGGAAAATGCAAGAGAGGTTTCGTGGAAACAAAGCCTTCTTCAGGCCTGGAACAGAAGCAGAAAATGGCACAGCAGGGTTGAGAACAGCTGCTCTGAGCTCAGGGCAATTATCCTAAATTTGGTAATTTTAAAAAAAGGGGTGGAGTTTGTGGGATGGGGAAGAGATGGGAGGGAGATGAAAGGCAATAGATGCTGGGTGCTGTGCACCAGGCCCTGGTCAGTGCTGGGCACGCAGGCTGTCCCTGTGCCTATCCCTGTGCCTGTCCCTGTGCCCAGCTTGCCCTCAGATCCTGTTCACCCAAAACTGCTGCATGGCCGAATCTCAGGGCTCCCCAGGGTGACTCTGTAGCCCCAGCAAAGGCAGTCAGGTGTGCTCAGCAAGGTCCCAGGGCCGACGTGCCCTTGTCATAGGCCACAGGTGGCCTTGAAGGGCCACCTTGTATTTTAGATTGAGTGGGGACAGAAAAACCCAACCCCAAAACTTTTCCCTCTGCAAGATCCCTTACTTTTTCAAGGTATGATGCTCCCCGTGTCCCATTTTCATCCCTCTCTGGTAGAAAAGCACACCGATTGTCATGGAAAAACAAAAATTTATGGATTTCAGTTTTATTAGGAACGCAGAAAAAAATGTGGGGGAAAAAAGCTGTTTAGTGAGACTGAATCTCCAGGGGAAGACGCAAAGCCCTGCTCTGAGATCTCCTGGTCACATCAAGGGACTGTGATCCAAGTCTGCCTTGCCATCACTGCTCTGGGGCTGCTCCTGTGACCCTGAACCAGCTGGGATCCCAGCTCTCCCCTTGGCAAAGGGAAAGGCTGAGACTTTCATCCCAGGATGTACCTGGCTTCCCTCACCCCACAGCTCTGCAGGGCCATGGTTGTTTCCCTCCCAGGTGACAACAATTTCCGTTTCTGCTCACTGAATTAGCAAGGAACCCTCCAGTATGTTTATACTGAAAATTCAGCCCAAATGGGAGACTCACAAGGCTCTTCTTGGGGAGACAGACTGATACTGGAGAAGACATTAATGAACTGTCTCCTTCCAGAGGAACTGCAAGTCAGCCCTGTCTCCTTGAGCTGAGCAGAGCCCAGTCCCCACTGTCTTGCAGTTTGCTCCACTGCAGCCCAGATCCCCAAAAGAAAGCAAAGCAAAGCACTAGAATCTTCAAATTATGCAAATTTCAAATTAAATTGGACAGTAGGAAAAAGACATCAAGACAGTATGGACCTCCAAAAATATCCCTCCTAGTTGGTAACATGCTCTCTTCCAAGTTGCAGGGTCTCTGGGGCCCCCTTGCTGACCGGTTATGCCTAGAGATATCTGAATTGTGCCCAAATACTTCCCTGTGTGTTTGCAGCTCAGATGGAGGCTGGAGCTACAAAGGGCAGATGGGAAGGAAGGTCAGTGGGGATGGGCAAGCTCAGGCTGGTAGAAAAACCAAGTTTATTCCATGGCTTTTGAAGGTGACTGCAGCATCCTGCCCTGCACAGGGGCTGGCACAGGCTGCAGTCCCCAAGGTGAAGGTGAAACATCCCCCCTGAGACCCCCTGGCCTCTGTGGGGCAGGATCACACCCCATGGCAGGGCCTTGGCACAACCCCCCATCACCCCTAGCTCGTCTCAGCTGGTCCTGTGTGTCGCCTGTGGTTAAAACCAGGAAGGAATTTTCCCCTGGTGCAGCCTCACAGGCTCAGGTGCTGCAGCACCAGGGAGAAGTGGGCTCAGGGTGAGCAGCGCACAGCCCCCTTGTCCAGCTCCCCTCGCTGGGCCTGAGCCATGTCCCTCACTGCTCACAGTTTCCTCAGGAATCACAAGTTCAGGGGTGCCCAGGGACAGGACGAGAGCAATGGCTACAAACTCAAACAAGAAGTTCAACCTCAGCATGGGGAAGAACTTCTTTCCGTGGAGGAGGGCTGAGCCCTGGAACAGGTGCCCAGGGAGGGCCTGCAGTCCCCCTGTCTGGAGACATTCCAAACCCATCTGGACATGTGTGTCACTGCTCCAGGTGACCTTGCCTGGGCAGAGCGTTGGACTGGCTGATCCCCATAAGTCCCTTCCAGCCCCGACCACCCTGTGATTCTGTCACTCCCTGTGCTGTGAAGGTGCAGCTGTCACAGAACTGCTGGCAGTGAGCAAGGCCTGTTCTGTTCATCACCTGACACGTGATGTCACTTTTGGGGGATGTCCCTCGTTTGTCATCATTAGACCCGGAGTATCACAGGAGTGGTGTCTGATGAGGAGGCCAATCTGCAGGGAATGGAATGGGAATCTGAAGGACAATGAGGCAGCATGGTAGAACTGCCAAACCAAGATTCATCCTTTTTTTAAAAAGAAAAAGTTAAATTCTAAAGGAAAATAAGCCCTCTGGTAGCTGGTGTCCAGCAGTTCAGACAATGGATATTCCTTTCCTGCAGAAAAGGCTGTGATTTGGCTTGGTTCAGTTTCTGAGCAAACACCAATTCCAGACCCTGCTTGGCTTTCTCTCACATCAGAGCTCTCTCTATACCATTGCTCACATTTCCCCAAAGGCTGAATACATTTTAGGTGGAAGGAGAGCCCTGGACCATCCCAGAATCTGCAGAGCACCATCCCAGGGATGCAGGGAGACCTCCAGCTCCTCCTGGAGCTTTTAAACCCTGATGGGACCTCTGGGAGCTGTGGCACCACTTTAGTGCTGGGATGGAGCTGAGCAAGAGCGAAAACCCCTTTTCCTGGCCATGGAACCCCACGTCCCAGCTTAGGGGGGAAGCCTGGGAAGAAAGCGCTGCTCCACCACGGCAGAAGAGCAGGGATGAGCATCAGGAGACAGGGAGGAGCTGAGCCATGCCTGAGGCTGAGAGACCAGCACAGCACAAGGGATGGAGGTGGAGGGTTCATGGCTGGGCCCCGGGGGAAGCTGAGGAATGCCCTAATTACAGCACAGTTGTGGAAACTGGGAGCTCTCCACTGCCTTATAGCCAAAGAAACAGGCTCTGAACTGAGACACAACACACTGTTCCCAAGGGAAAAACCAATCCTGCTGAAACTGGTCTAGCTCCTTAGAGGGTATTAATGAGTTCTGCTCATCACACCAGGGGAAGCTCTGGGCTCCTCCTCGGGCATGTGCAGCTCCCGTGGACAGAGCAGGGGAGAAGGGTTTGGCCTGGAGCTTCCCTGCTCAGGGCACATCCTGTGGCTCCACTCCCTTGGCCATGAATACAGAGCCTTTCCCTCAGGACTGTGGGTCTGGAACAGCAGATGGGACAGCCTGGAGCAGGGAGCAGCTCTGGAACAGCAGATGGGACAGCCTGGAAAAGGGAGCAGGTCTGGATAAATCTCAGACTGGTTCCTGGGGCATTCCTTCCCCCATGGACTCATCCCTCTGCCTGATTTCATCACCCTCAGCTCTGGGTACCTGCAACTTGGGCTGGGCTTTGGCAACAAACTCAGGGTGGCCTAAATATCTTTGTGAAGGGAAATCCGGTCTGACAAAGTGACTGTTGTTTGCTGAAGGCATCAATGAGGCTGTGGATAAGGGGGACCTGGGAGACAAGCATTTTCCTGGGCTTCCAGAAGCCAAGACCTTTAGGTCAAGCACAGCTACGAGGGAAAGTCCAAGCAAAGCTAAATAATCAACCAGCAGAGAGGAAGCAGTAGTGAGATAACAAACTGCTGATAATTCCTGTGATTTCAGCACAGCCGAGGAGAAGTCTGAGGATGCAGACACTCAGAAGGATCTGGCACCACTTGGGAGTTTGGGGATAAAATAGAAAAGGAAGTTTGGAGAGGCATAAAGTGACACACAGAGGGAAAAATCCAACATTACTTCATCTGTGAGAAGAAGGGCTCTGGGCTCTGGGCTCTTTCCTTGGAAATGAAATCTGGGGATTGTGGTGACATCAGGGAAAACAGGAGCTCCATGGCAGCAAAGACTTCCAGCCTTGAGAGGTCAATGCTTTGTGCTGCTGAATGGCTCAGCAGGACCCATCCATGTTTAAAGGAGAAGATTTCCAGCAGTAGGGAATAGGCCTTGGGAACCTCCTGCTGAAGCATACTTTCTGTACGGGCCGTTTTTCTGGGTTTGAAGGAAATGGGGCAAACCCATGGAGGTAAAACCCTCTGAGGGATCTTGAATAAAGAGGCAACTGTTCAGCTCCGAAGGTTTCTGAGCTGCAAATAAAACGCTGGGAAGGGGCGAGTGTCAGCAAGGGGGCGAGTGTCAGCCAGGCTCATCCTCTGCCTAATCCCCAGGCACTAAATGCCCATCTAGAATTTCTTCAACTTAATAACAAGAGGAATCGCAGACTGGGAGGTTTTATATTCCTTTGCTGTGTAGATCCTAGCTGGGGGTGTTCTTTCACTGCCACGTGCAGTCTAATCCTTTGGAAAACCCTGCTAAGTCCTGTGCTCCAGTGCTRTCCTTTGGCAATGAGTTTTGTGAGCGCCGTGCTCACAGTGCATTAAYCACAGAGCTTTTATTGCTCTAGAGGAGCTGCTGATGCTGGACTGCTATATATAGTCTGTCAGCAATTAGCAGGATGCTTGCAAGGTTATGGAAGTAATTTTTTCCCTTATGCCACAATTCACTGGGTTCTCTGTATGTATGAAAACATGTGAAAGATGAGCGATTAGTGCAAGAAGAAAGAAGAGCAAGAGTGAGCCCTGCTCAGAGCGGGCGACTTGTTTGACAGGGCCATCTCTTTAAAATGGGATTATAATCAGGAACCTTTGATTAAAATCATTGCTCAGGTCATGGCACACCCCTGTGGGCAGGAGGTGTGCAGGGCCAGCCCAGCCTCTCAACCAGTTCCTTGGGCTGATTCAGGGATGGATCTCACTGGGAGCAGAGGTTGTACTCCAGGGGTCCTGGATGACATTTCCTGCAAGGAATAGTGCCTGGCTGCCCTAGCAGTGGGAGCACTGGGGTCCTGGCCATGGTGTGGGAAAATCTAGGGGACCTGGCTCTGTGCAGCTTGGGCCCCCCAGCTCCCCATAAGACAACTCCATTCCTTCACTAAAAGCAGTGCCCTGGTGGCTTCACATCTCAGTAGGAGGGGCCGCCCTGTTTAAGGGTGGGGGTCTTGGGACACACCCAGAGGGGGAGATGGGTTTGATGGGCTGGATTCCAGGTGTGGGATGGGTCTGGGCACACAGCTCCTCTCTAGCACAGAGCTTCAGCACCCAAAAATTGCATCCCCCCCACGCCCCAGCCCCCTCCCCTTAGACTTTGTGCGCACTCACTGCTGCAGCAATGCTCGTAAGGATGTGGGGGCCTTGACAACTCCATCCAAGACATCTAGAAAGGGCTGGCAAGAGCAGGAGACCCTCCCATGCTCTGTGGAAAGGACTGGACTGCGCCCAGCCGGAGGTGTTTTAATGACTGTTTTGGATCCCCGGGAGCCAACCTCCTCCCACTCAGCCCGGGGTAATTCACCTCCTCCGCCGGGCTGCAGGAGTTGTTGACTGGTGGATTGTGGCTGGTAGAACAGGTTCTTTACAGGGAGTTGTCTCCGAAACCCTGGGAGACGTGGATGGCTTGAGCCGCGGATCCCTGCTCGGAGCCTGGCAGAGAGAAGGGCTCTGGTTTTGCGTGGCACTGCTGGGCAGGGCGGCTCTCGGCCCGCGCCGCTGGCGCACAAATCACAGCCCTGCCTGTGTCAGGTAGATAAGGAACCATGTGATGCAGCTGCTGGGGAGCGGGTGGCAGGCCGGTTAAAGGTGCACAGGGAAATAACCTTGCAGGGAGTTCCTCCCTCGCTCCCTCCCTCGCTCCCCAGGGAGCAGAATCTCCGGGCAGCGCTGATCCCTGCGGCTCTCACGGCACCTTGGCCTGGATGCCTGCTCAGGTTCTGGGGGCTCTCTGAAACTCCCGGGAAGCAGGAATGTCCTTCAGCAGAAGGAACTGGTCGGATCTCTCCAGGTAGGTGCTGTGGATTAATGCTTAACCCTTTCCACTGGCGGCCGGGAAGGTTGAGGGTGGTCTGCTGGTGGCCGAGGGGGCTTGGGAAGAACAGGAAGAGGGGGCAGCTGCCCTGTGGGCATTGTTTGTTGCTTACAGAGGTGAATGCCAGCCCCACGGAGTGCTCGGCGCTGCTGGAGTTTCTTGTGGGTGGGCAAGATCAGAGGCATTTTTGTTTCTACTGCCTGGGGAAGCTGAGCACTGCACAGGGGAATTACCTGGATAAGCATTCTTTCCTCATGCTGGATACATGCTGGGTCTGTTTTGCCTCTCTTTGGTTGGGCCGTGCCTCCAGATCTGCTTGGGAGCTGGCTCGGGGGTTTCCAAAACCCCGCATGCCCATGCAGCCCCTGGGTGTGTGTCCTGCTCTGCCCTGTGGAGGCTGCAGCCCCATCCTGTGCTGAGCAAGCCCTGATTCAGCGCAGTGACTGAGCAATCCCTGAGCAATCCCCGCAGCTCCCTCAGCCTTCCCAAAGAGTGATCCTCAGCTCCAATGGGAGCAATGGGAGCATGGGTGGGGAAGGCTCCTGGGCATCCTGAGGTGAGTCAGGGACCCGCCCGGGGCTGGAGTGAGGTGGGATCAGCCCTGACCCACTGCAGACCCCAGAGCGGCCCTGCCGGCCTCGGCTGTGCAGGAGCAGTGATGGAGACTCAAACACAGCCACGCTGTCCCACAAATCAGAGCAGGAGCCCTGGTCCGAGGGGATGTGTGGGCTCTGAGACTTAATTGCAAACCTCAGTACTTGGTGTAAGAAAGGGGGGTTCATAGAATCCCAGATTGCTTTAGGTTGGAAGGGACCTTAAAGCTCATCCAGTCCCACTCCCTGCCATGAGCAGGGATACCTTCCACTATTCCAGGTCGCTCCAAGCCCTGTCCAGCCTGGCCTTGGACCCTGCCAGGGATGGGGCAGCCACAGCTTCTCTGGGCACCCTGTGRCAGGGCCTCCCTACCCTCATGGTGAAAAATTTCCTAATTTTAATTGAGACCCCACTGCTTGGAGGCCACCAGCTCTCAGCTGCCTCTGCCATGGATGGGACAGATCCAGAGGCCATCCAGCCCCATCCAGATCCAGCTCTTCTGAGCCATGAGCCTACCGCACCACAAGCCCAGCTGGGTTCTTCACTCCGTATGCTTCACAACCCCAGGAGGCATTTCCTGAGCTCTTCTGAGATGAGGCAGCACTGAAATAGCAGAAATGTCAGAAATCTTTGCACTAATCATTAACAGGGCAGGAGAGGACAAGGCAGGGACACTTGCCAAAGTTTTTTACCCATCTCCTTGAGGTTAAAAAAGGTAAGACAGCAAAAAATAAATCCCTCTTTGAAAAGTGGACGGAAAAATTGGCAGAGCAAATGCATAGCCTGATGGGTGGATCACTTAATCACAAATAACGAGGAGTTGCCTATGGATAGTGCCAGGTTTTGTGCTGCCTCAGAAGGAGCCAAGGGAATTCAAGGCAGGAAAATCCCATTTTCACTTCAAAGGAGCCTGTGCGTGTAAAAACGAAGAAGTACCTGGTTGTCATGAGGATTTAATCCGGAATTAGTGCTCTGTGCTGTCACTGCTTGAGGGACAGGAGTGCCGAGCAGCAGCACGGGAACATGCGTGTCCCGCACAGCCGGGAACCTAACGCTGGGAAAGCGTGTGCAGGGATCGCTGCTGGCTGGGAATGCGTGTACAGGGATCTCTGCCCTGAAAATACGTGTACAGGGATCTCTGCCCTGAGAATACGTGTGCAAGGATCGCTGCCTCGGAAAAGCGCCGGTGCTGGGCAAACACGGTCGTGCTGCCGTCCCAGCCTCTCCGGGCTGCGCACGGCTGGGGACGGAGCGGGGCTGCCCCCACCTGGGGATGCTCTCCGGGCACATCACAGCCTTCGTCAGCCCCGTCTCTCCCGATGCCAAGTGTGGCGGTGGCGTTGGCATTGGCATTGGCATTGGCGACCGTCTGGAGTCCCCCAGCAGTGGGTCCGACTGCTGTTTGGGCTGTTCCGCTGTGGGGGCAGCACTGCCCGGCACTGCCCTACCCCCAGCTCTGCCCTGTCTCCAGCTCTGCCCTGTCCCCGGCACTGTCCCCAGTTCTGCCCTGTCCCCGGCACTGTCTCCAGCCCTGAGTTCTCAGCCCGTCCCGTCCCCCTCGGTTCCCGTCGCGCTCCGCTGGCCCCACTGCGCTCCCTCCTCCCCCGAGCAGGAAGAACAGAAGCCGCAAACACTCGCGGGGGGTAAAGCGGTTTAATTTACGACCGGCTGTGATTACTCAGTAACTCGGAACCTCCCGCGAGTCCCCGCGGCTGCGCTCGCCGTAACGCGGCCCGACCCCTCTGACTTTCACGTTCCTAAAAGTCAAATTCACGGCAAAGCCTGAGCCCGGGTGTCGCGGGACGGAGCTGGGATGAGGCGCTGGGATGGACCCTGCGCGGGGACGCTCTGCTCCATCGGCTTCCCTGCAGTGTTTGTGGCTGATGGAGGGACATGAACCCGGCTCTGAGAAGCTCCATCCAGCCAATAAAAATATTTTCTAGCACACTTCATGCACCGGCACAGAGGGTGGGAAGGTTTGGCACAAAGAAAGGATGGCAGAGTTGGTGTTTTCCAAATAACTTTTTATTCAGTGGCATTTTATTAAAAAAAAAACAAAAAAAAAAAAAAAAAAAAAAAACCTGCCACATTTGGCTTGTGCAAAATAAAATGTTCAAAGATAATTCCACACCTTGTCTTTTTGGTGCATTCTGTGGCTGTAACAATTCCCAGTCCAGGCACACGCAGGGAGGAAAAGAAGCCCTGCCAGACCCATCTCCAGGCAGAACCTCTCAGCAGTTACCTTCAACCTCTGATATTTTTGCGTCTGAGGCTTTTTGCTCCATAAAAATTAAATAGCCATCACTACAACTTGTTTTGGGGCTAAAATCTTGTACCACAGTGGTTACCCTTCCAGTTTGTGTGGTTGAGGTCTGTGTGGTAGCTCAAGCGTTCTGGTCTGACTGAGTTATAGGTTCAATATCCTTCCTCTGGAAGGTTTGCTTAATACAGGGATTCCTTTGAAATGAGTGCTCCCTCCAGCAGGAGAAATTAGCATTTGGGAAGTCAAGTGCTTGCTTTGGGAAGGGCCTGCATCAGCTCGGTGGAGTAAGAGCACTTTGGGACACTTGGCTCATGCTGATATTTCTCTCCTCCAGGAAGGTGACTTCCATCAGCCCCTTGACCTTGCCTGGGTTGTTCCAGTTCCTTTCTTGTCTGGCACCAGGGCTGCAGGGTCCCCATGCAGGACACAGCCTCCCCATGTCCTTGTGTTTCCTCCCAAACAGCCTGGCCAGGCAGAGGACCCTGGAGGATGAGGAAGAGCAGCAAAGAGAGTGGCGGCGAAGGCACCGGAACCTGCTGTCCTCCACATCCACGGATGAGGAACCTGCCAGCCCTGTCAAGGACACCAGCCTAGCTCCCAGCAGGTCTGTGGGGTGCTGCTGGCACCTGCCTGGCTCCTGACACAGCCCTGGCAGCTGCTGCTGCAGCTGGTGGGAATCTCTCCCCGCTGAGGGAGGGCTCAGCTGCAGGAAGAGCTGGGCTACAACAGCCTTTGGAAGGAGGGATGAGCTCCCCAGGAGGAGTACAAGGCGGGGATGTCTCTGGTGGACTCTCCATTGCACAGGAGCTGGAGTGGAGGGGCAGGGCTGGTGCCAGGGCTGAGCTCAGGTAGGTGCTGGCCATGCACAGGTGGGATCTGCAGCAGGTAAGGACAGGTGGGATCTCCTGCAGGGCAGGAGAGCAGAGCAGGCAGACCGTGGCTGGGTCTTCTGAACCTCACAGCGCTGGTGTGGGACCTTTGCTGGAGTGGGGACATGACCAAGGGCTTTCCAGTGGTGCTTCCAAAGTCCCTGGCTAAAGGCAGCTGGGATTTGGAGGTACTCTGGGATAGGGCTGCCCTTTCACAACCTGACCCACTCTCCAAATTGACCCTGGAAGTGTCCAGTATTTAGGAGGTTTGTGTCCACCGCAAGACTCCTGCTCCAGAGGTGTTTCTGTGTTTCAGACAGGAGGGAGTTAGGATGCTTGGGTTGGATATGGGGTGGATGGGGGCTGGACATGGCTAAAATGGACCAGGTGGGAAGGAAAATCCCCCTTCCCTGGTGCTGGCACAGGCTGGCTGTGTGGTGATTGCAGTCCAGGAGGAGGGCAAATGTTATACCATCTGCTTCCCAGTCCTGGGAATGTGCAGACCCAGCTGCCAGGTGTCCTCATGCTCCTTCCCAGACCCTGGGCCTGTTTGCCTGGGGGAAGGAGGGCAAACAGCCTTTCACAGGTTCCTGGTGGACCTGCCAGAACCGACTGACTTGCAACCAACACTTCCTTCTTACAGCTGGTGGGATTTTTCCTAGTCCAGTGAAGAGCCACAGCCACACTTCTTATCCAGCAGCAGCCGTACCATGCTGCCCTGAGCCTGGATCTCCTTGGTGCAGGACTTGGTGGATGCTGTGTCTTGGGATGGGGCTGCAGAAATGCTTCATCTCTAGCATAAAAATTTAAAAAAAATATTTTTAATACAAACTTTTTCTCAAACAACTGAGCTGGGGTAATGGGGATCAGTGTGACTGGAAGTCCTGATCTGCAGGGAGGACTCCAAAATGTTGTTGGGATTTTTATGTCCCTCCCCAGAGCCTTTTGCCTCACTTGCATCACGAAAGCCACCCCTCAAGCCCTGGATGCTGATGTTTTTATCCCATGTTGTCCCTGTCCCTAGACCTCCATCCCTGGTGAAGCCGCAGTCTCCGGAGGATGGGGAGGAGCGAAAGCTCTCAGCAGTGCCGAAGACACAAGAAGGGAGACGGACGAGGTGCCTCCCACCTGTATCTGAAAAGCTGAGGCAGGAGAAGGAGCAGAAGGAGCCGGGGGTTGGAGAAAGCCGCCCGGAGGCAGCAGCACAGCCCCGCGGGAGGCAGGAGAGCAGCCGGGCTGCAGAGCGGGGGCAGGAGGCTGCCAAGGGCAGAGGGGACCCGCCTGCAGACAAGAACCCAGAGCCGGCCTCTGAGAGGAAGGTGATGCTGAGGGCACGGCTTCAGGACAAAGGCGAAGGAGTGTGGACTTCTCAAGGGGAGCAGAGGAAAGAGTTGAAGGAGCCACTGGAGGTGGGGAGCTGCCGGCTCCGGGAGGTGAAGATCCTCACCAGGGTGGGAAACCACAGCACGGAGGTGGTGAGCTCATCTCCAGAGCAGCAGGTGAGCAGGAATGGACAGGGCACCAAGCCCTGCCGGGAGGGGTCCTGGGTGCTGGGAGAGAGGGACAGCCCAAAAGTACCAGGAGGGAAATGGGAACTGAAGGATTTTGGGGAAGGTTTTTCTGAGAGCAAACCATGAGGTCTCACGAGCTCCTTCCCCTCCCTGGTCTGCACTGTCCTGATTGCTTTCTCCAGCAAGCCCCTCTGATTGCCATCATGGTGACACTAAAGAGCTGTTCGGGGCTCTGTATGTCCAACTGGGACAGGAAAGGTTTGGAGGATTTTGATCTCAGATTCCTGCCTCCAACCTGGTTCCCACCCTGACTGCTCAGCTCCTGCATCTGACATCTCCTTTTTCCTCAGCAGCCATCCAGGAACCCTTCAAAGCAGGTAACCCAGCTGTCCCTGCCCCGAGATGAACCTACAGAAAAGCCAGAGCCTTCTCCAACTCACGTCACCTTCAGCAGCTCCATCCGACGCACCAGTCCAAGAACTGTCTCCTTTCGGGTAAGAGCTAAAGCAGGTGGGGAAAGAATTCCATTGAAGCAGTGAAAGGTGGGGGGAAGGAAGGATTGCTTTGGCCTCTGGGTTATGTGGGCAGAGTCTGTTTCCAGAAGGGTGTTCAAAACCCACTTTTGGTCCAGCCATTGCAGTTCTACTTCTCTTATCCCCCCATTTTCCTTCTCCATTCTGACTGAGGGTGTATGAGGATGAACATGTCCAGTTCATAGCCCTTGTGCTGGCCAGGAAACTCATGCAAAGTGATGAGAAAAAAGGGAGCACATTGTCCTCAGAATTTCCAGAGCTACAGGAATTACCATCCTCCTTCCAGCATTTCCAGTCTTATCTGAAAGCCCAGGTTAAAAATAACATCCATCCTCCCTCTCATCCCTTCTTACAGTCTGAGAAAATATTCCATTTCAAACCAGCTCTCTGGAATAAAGTGGTTGGAGAGGCTGGGAAAACCAAGAACTGTTGAGACTCTCCCTGCTTGGAGTCAGGGATGACTGGCTGTGCTTGACTGACTTCCATGAGGCTTTACTGGGAGATGAAACTGTTATCAGTGCAAAGCATCTTTAGTCTGGGGAGCTTTGAGATATGAGATAAGTTCTGGTGTGGGTACAAATGGAGTTTTCCTGGGGGAGATCAGTGAGATGGTGTCTCCCATGCTTATCTTGGATAACCAAAGTGCACTGCAGGATCTCCTCTGCTTGTGTCTTCCAGATCATCTCCAGGAAGCAGAAAGAAGAGAGCCAAAGCCCTCTAACAAGGAGGTCAGCATCTCTTGTCATGTTGCTTTGGTCCTGCTAGGCAGGAATTGCTATCCTTTGTTCTCTGAGGGAGGAGGGGTTGATGGGCCCTGGGGCCTGGCACAGATCTCCTGGACATTGGTCCCCAGGGTGCCAGGCTGGGCAGGCAGTGACACTTGGCAGGGAACAGGACAATGTCCAATGTGCAGTTTGCACCTGAGCGAGATCCTGGAATCACAGAATGGTTTGGGTTCCAAGGGACCCTAAAGATCTCATTCCAACCCCTGCTATGGGCAGGAACATCCTCCACTCTCCCAGGCTGCTCCAATATCCCCAGCAAGCCCCCAAGGTCTCCCAAGTCATACAGTTCTGTGTTGGGGCTCGTGTCTGCACAGGTGCAGCACCACAACAGGGTCCTATCCATGGGGATGTCAAAACAGATCCATGACCAACCTGACCTGGCTTTGGTGGCCAGATCCAGGCATCCCCCACACCTCCATGGGCGAGTTTGACCCGTGCATTGTGCATGCTGTAGGCAGAGCCACAATACAGTTCAGAGCTTGCAGAGCTGAACCCAGGGCAGGCTGAGGAGCTCCAAGATATTTCAATGTGGCTCTAGAAAGGGGGTCACACCCAGAGATCTCAGTGACCAGCAGGGTATAAACTGCTTGGTTCACCTGGCAGATGGATTCAGGAGTGCCGGGGTGGGATGGGGTCTTCTCCTGCCAAGTGTAGCTCTCCAGGAACCTGGGCTGGGTCCCAGGAGATCCTGAGAGGATGGTTTCAACTCTTCCCTCTCCTTCACCAGTGCGAGTCTGAGGATCCCAGGCAGCAACAACACCATTGGGGAGAAGCTGGAAAAATATAACTCAGCTGTGCAGGTACCAAAGACTACTGGCAGTGCCGGCTGGGGTAGGAGGGATGTGTGGGGATACGGAGAGGGGTGACCTGGAGCCGAGTGGGGAGGGGAGGGGCTGAGCTATACCCAATACCAGAGCTGATGGGGATGAAGGAGATGGTCCCAGAAATAGGGATTGGACTCAGGGTTTTAGGAGCAGGGAGGGAATATCCTCTCGAGGGAGTCTGGGGGTGCTGCATGGTCCTGCAGGGAGGAGCTGTCCTCTGGAGGGGTTCTGGGGGTGCTGCGTGGTTCTGCAGGGGCAGCAGTGGGCAAGGTTGTGAGCTGGTGACGGGCAGGGGGCAGCAGACCCCGAGGGGCTCAGGGAGTGACCCAGAAGCTGGACTTTGCTTTTCACCCCTTGGGGTGCAGTGCAGCCCTGCTGACGCCCCTGTCTCTCGCAGCGCTCGGAAGGGGTGAAATCCTCCGCGCCGGTCCAGAAGAGCCGCCTGCTCTCCTCCGAAGGGGTGGCGAGCAAGCGCAACTTCTTCGAGGGCAGCGCTCCCAGCAAGGCGGAGCCAGCGGCTCCCCGGAAGGTAAGGCAGAAGCGGGGCTGAACCGGGACCTGCCCGCGGGCCCTGTGCTGGGGCAGGCATCGGCTTTGGGGTAAATATTCCCCTCTTTGGGTACCAGGCTCAGCCTGGCAGCCTGCTGCCGGGATTGGTGGGAGCTCGGTGCCAGGGCTGCGTTTGGGCACGGGAACTGCCCCAGCACTGTGTGGGTTCGTGCCGAGCGCTGGAATTTGAGGCGCTGGGATGGAGCCAGCGTGTGGGCTGGGTTCTGCCTGGTGCGGCTCTGCTCAGTCTCCCCGTGCCCTGGGGACTGGCCCGGGTTACATTCGTGCAGAGCAGAGCTGCTGCTGTAACCCTGGTGTCCCTCTCTGTGGCACAGGACAGCCTGAAGATCCCAGGATCAGTGACATCCCGCATTAATCTGTGGATCAGCCGAGCTCAGGAGCCTGCCAAGGAGGAAAGCAGCAAGGTACCAGCTTGTGTCAAGTGAGAGCCCTGAGACCGGGCCATCTCACAGGACATGGGTGCTGCATCTGAGGGCGGGGTTGAAGGGTGGATGAACCCTTGGCTGAACCCATTAAAGCCTTTAGCCAGGTTTGGAGGTCTCAGTGCTGCAGGGCCACCATGATGAGATATCAGGGCTCTCTCTGCTGCTGATTGCAAGCCCAAAATTCTAGAGTCAGCTGATTGCAGCCCTTGGTGGTGTGAGGAGGAAGCAGGAGCCAGCTGGATGCATGTCCCAGGACATGTAGGGACCTTGCCAGCACAATTCCATCTCTGCCATCCCACCTCCTCTGTCTGGATGAGCAGCTCTACCCGTAGGCCATCGGGAAAGGAGCTGTGTTCTCCTTTGGCTCTGAGGGGCTTGGGGAGCTGTGTGTGCTCAGAGAGATCCTGAGGATGTTGGGGTCATCTGTACCCCCTTGTGAAACCAAACCAGGAGGTCTTGTGGCTGTGGGTGCTAAGTGCCCATCTAAGGGGACTCAGAGGTCATCACTTGGCCACCGTGGCTACTCCCCAGACATGGATGTGCAGGAGAGGGACAGGAAAGCCTTTGTGGTGGAGACAGGAGAGGGACAGGAGAGCCTTTGTCCCCAGGGTGGTTTGATGTTTTTGGAAAGGAGGGGCCCAGCAGTTCCTGGGTGGGTCTCACTGCTCAGAGCAGGCAGTGTTCAGCCACTGCTCGTGGCAGAGTTTCCTGCAGCCCCCTGGAGCGGGAGGGGCAGCTCCAGCCCAGCCCCGTAGCCAGGGAAGGCAGGTCCAGTCTGGGTTGGGAGATCAGTACTGCCCAGATGTGTCTGCACTGGGCAGCTGTGCCAGCAGAGGGTTTGATCCTGGGCTCACTCCTGGGGAAAGCCTGCTGCTCCTTCATCAGGTTTCCTTTGATAACACCTGCTCCACCTCTGTGGCTGGAGCTGCACTTGGCTGTCGGGGTCCCCCAGGTGCAGGATCGCAAAGCTGGCTGGGTTTACCTGGACAATGTGTGCTTCAAGGTTTGGATTAAGTCAGACCAAGGGGAGCACACGAAGCATGGGGAAAACCTTCTCCTGTCACTTTTGACTCTCCTGTTTGCAGGAAATCAGGAGAGTCAACAGCCTGGCAAAGCGAGACATCTGGATAAAACAACCTGGAGACAGCTCTGGGGACACCAAGGTATTTATGGAGCTGCTGCAAAACCTGGTGCATCCTCTGAGGTGGGAACAGAGCCAGGATATGAGGGGACAGGGGACGTGGGGGTTATCAGAATGCCGTGATTGTGGGGCGTCAGCAGGAGGGGACAACTGAAGGCATCTGTAAAGGAGATAAGGACTCTGGTCTGGGAGGAGAAGGGAAATGGCCTGTGATGGGATTTAGGGGATGCCTGCCTGCCCCATCCCCTGCTGGGGACAAGTCACAGTCCTGGTTAAAGCAGCTGCCTCTGGGGGGTTTGCAGTCTCAGGCCCACCCTTAGTGGTTCGCACTTTCTTTTCCAGTTGCAATAATACCAGCTGTGATACCAGACCATCTGGGAAAAACTGGTTTGCTCTGAAGATCAAAGCCCAGCCCACCCCAACCATCCAGCAGCCACTGCCACGAGCCCCCTCTGCCACACGTGGGTGCAACCCAGGTCACGGGGTACTCTGTTTGTGGGATGGGAAGGAAGAAACCTGGAAGAGTCTCCCTGTGCCCCCAGTCCCCACTTACTGCCCGTCTGGGGGTGTCCAAGCCTGGAGGCTTCCTGCAGGTGCTGAAGGCAAACTCCTGCCTTGTTTGCCCACCACATTTTGCTGTTTGCTCCTGATGTCTGCCTGTGCCCCAAGCTGCCCTGGCAGAGGGATCCCCCACATGGCTCCCTGGCAGCTGGAAGGTGTCAGCGGGACGAGAACCTGTCTGGCCAAGGGAGTTTCAGCTGCACATCCAGAGACCACATCCGTCCTTGCTGCCTGGGGGGACCTGGGGCAGGCAGGTGTCCCCCATGCCAGGCTGTCACTGCCAGAGTGACCCAACCAAAGGCCAATGTTTGTGAAGTCACACAAGTGCTTGGAGATGCCTCATGGAAGACAGAGGCACTTGGCCCTGGTGTTCCCCTCCACATGCAGCTGAACCAGAGACTTGTCCTTGTCCCTGCCACCCCCTGCCCCTGCCAGCACTGACCCCTTCATTCAGTGAGGGTGGGCTGGCCATGGCCCTGTTTGTGGGATTTCATGGGGCTGAATGCCCTGTGCTGGGCCCCGTTTCCCTCTTGCCCTTCCTCCTGAGCCCTTTGCTGTGCAGCCCCTGATCCTGCATTGCCTGGGCTGCTGAGCCCACCCAGCAGGGATTTGGGATGCTCTCATGAGGCCTTTGGGGTGCCACAGCCAAAGGGCTCAAAGCTTCCTTTGGGGCTGTTCTTTGGGTTTGAGCTGTGCCTTGAGCAACCACTACAGCGTCAAATTCGGTGTGGGAATCCGCTGCTGCCCCTGGAGCTGATCCTGCTTGCTGGGCTTGGGAAAGGACTTGGGTTTCTCTGTGCTTTTTTTGTTTTTCTAATAAAAGTTGCTCTTTCTAAGACACTCCTGGTCACCTCCTGCAGGGCTGGGACTGGAAACTGTTCACTCAAATATAGGGAAAAACCTGAACCAAATGTGTCCTGGGGGGTTAAAAACAGACTCTTCCTTTCTCATTGCAGCATCCCGAGCTCAGAGCAGCGGCTAAGGGAGCCGGGTCGGGACTGCCGTGCAGGGTCTGCTCCTGTGCTGGTGGCAGCGCTGTCTTATCAGCGTCCCGGCCCCGGTGACAGCTGGGATGGCTTGTGTCAGCCCCTCGGGCACTCGCGTATCTCGGTCCGCAGGGTTTAAAATAGCAAATCTCTGAGGCCACACAATAGCTTGGGCTTATATGGGCTCCTGGGGGGGAAGGGGGAGCGGCGGAGGGGGCCGGGGCCGCGGCTGCTGAAATAGCAGCTCACAAGTGTTGCATTCCTCGCTGGGCGCCGGGCACATTCCTGCGGCGCTGCCCGCCCCGGGGTGGGCGCTGGAGCCCCCTTAAAGCCTCCTGCTCCAAAGAGGCTTTCCCAGACCCCGCCGGCTCCCCGCGGCTCCCCGGCATCACCGGCGCACAGGTACGGCTGGGGCGGCGCCCGCCCCTCCCGGGGGGGATGCGCTGGACCCGGAGCCGGGAGGGATTCGCCTCAGGGTTCGGGGTGTCCCCCGGCCGTCCTCTCTGGGGTGTTCTATACCATGGATAAGCACCAGGACCCTCTCCAGCGGGCTGTGTTTGCAGTTTACCTTTTGGATCACCCTGATGGGTGCCCAGGTGGCTGAGGTGGATTTTGGCTGCCTCGGTTCTGGGGGAATCTCATGGGTCCCCGTTCCCTGTGTTCCTAGAGGGGACAGCAGGGATGTGATGCCCATGGCCAGCCTGGCCCTGGCTCGGTGGCAGCCCGGGGGATTGGGTGCTCCTGTGCCTGGTGTGACCCTGGTAAGCAGGACTGGAGCAGGGACGTGACCCATCCCTGGAGCAAACGGTGGGAAAGGAGAGCTCCATGTCTGGGCAGTCTGGGGGAAAGCAGAGACTGAGAACTGTGGAGGATTAACTCAGCCCCAGAGCTGTGAGCAGCCAGCCCTGGCCTAAAGGAGAGGGGGATTTCAAGGACCGTGAGGAATATCCAGATTCTTTAATACGCAGCAGATTCTGGGCAATTTTTTGTAGTCAGTGCAATCTTTCCTCTTGAGCTCTATAATGTATGCTGCATTCTCCTAATTCTACCAAATCTAGACTTCCCAGTTTTAATGGAAAAGTTTATGTGTTTCTGTGCAGAGGATGCAGAAATATTTCCTGGAGCCACTTTTTCTCTTAGCAGTACCCTCCTAGCAGTCCTTAACTGTTCCCTCAGCTCTGGGGGATTTTGGGATGTCTGAGGGAGGAGGGCAATGGGAATGCAGGAAGTTGTCAGGACCGGGCTCCCTCCTCTCCCATGTAATGAGATGATGATGTGAAGCCTTGGGTGCTCAGAGTCCACACGAATTATTTGCCCCATCTGCTGTCACTTGGGGCATCCATTGCAGGAAAGGGAACGGGAGCAGGCAGTGATCCTGAGGCAGAGGGGGCTGAGTTCTGACTTAATTTGTCTCCAAAAAGCACCTCTTGAGTCACAGTGAAATTAGCAACCCTCTGGAGCTGTGGCTATGCTGAGTTTCCCCGCTGGAATGCCCCTTTCCCATGGCTGAGCATTCCAGCCCTGGATGCAGCATCTTGAGTGAGCGCTCCTGAAGCCTGTCCTACCCACCATGAGTAATAAATGTTCGACAGATGTAGCCAGGAGCAGTTGTTCCCAGAGCCCAGGCAGCAGCAGCAGGGAAGCCTTGCTGCTCTGGGAACAGGTGGTTCAGCACATGGAAGTTATTTCCAGAGCTGCCTTGCATCGTCCTGTGGCAGCTCAGCCCTGCTGAGGGCTGGCATGAGCACGAGGGGATGGGGATGGGATGGGATGGGATGGGATGGGATGGGATGGGATGGGATGGGATGGGATCAGGACGGGATGGGATTGGGAAAGGGATGGGATTGGGAAAGGGATGGGGATGGGATTGGGATGGGATAGGATAGGACCCATGGGATCCATGGGATGGGATGGGATGGGATGGGATGGGGATAGGAATTGGGGATAGGGGTGGGATGGGGATGGGGATGGGATGAGGGCAGGGCTCTGGCTTGCTCCAGGGATGGGGCTGGTGGGTGCAGATCTCATGGTGCAGCGTTGGGTGAAGGTTCCATGAGGGCAGGTGATGAGCAAAGTCCTCCTGAGCATAGCTGGGAGGGAGAGAGATGTGCTGGGGAGATGAAAGATTGTTTCTGCAGAGATTTTAGCTCTGTTACTAAACCAGGACGCGAATTATTCCTTTTAGCTAGTGGGGGAGAAATGCTCCTGCTGAGCCCAGGCTGCCCCTTTCCTGAGCAGTTCTGCACTCGCAGGGCTGGGCTGGGGGGGGTTGCTGAGGGTCTGGTGCTGTGCCTGGTACAGGGCTGTGAATCTGAGACAAGGGGTCGGCCCTGAGCTAAGAATAGTCAGGAGGCAAAGCAAGCTGAATGCTGCATTGGGGCGATTTTCCTGCCCCCTGAGCAAACACAGTCCCTGAGAGGGCTGGGGCCAGGGGGGCTGAGTGCTCTGGACAGTTATCGCTGTGACAGGAGGCTGTGTCCCATCTCCTGCCTCCTGTGCTCCTGGGATAGAGGGGAGCAGAGCCTTATCTCTGCTGTGATAGCGCTGTCACAGCCTGCCTGGGGACAGCTGCAAGCTCCAAGTGCTTTGGAGAGGGACAGTGTCTCTGTGCCCCGTCCTGGTACTGGGGACAGGCTGTGCTGGCCCTTATCTCAATCCTAACCCTCACTTTTTCCAATCTGCCTCCAACCCTGCCAGACACCCAGGAATGTCAGACACAGAGGAGGTCACCGAGGAATATGAACAGTAAGTGGGGTGGTTTTGACCCCCCTCCTTTCTCTCGATTCCCATTCCCTCCAGAGCTGCAGCCTTGCTTGGACGGGCTCTGGTTGTGACCCCAATGCCCACCGTGGGCCCCCAGTCCCTGCCCTCTGCCCTGGCAGTGCCTGGCCCCAGCAGTGGGAATTTGTGCTGGAAGCTGTATCCACACCCATGGATGGTTCCTGGGTTAGAAATGCTGCAGTCCCAGTCCCTGAGACACAGATGGAAAAACCTGAGGCCACCAATTCTGTGGCTGATGGGATCCTGCTGCCACATCCAGAGCATCACTCCCCAGGGCCCAGATTCAAGAGTGGCTTCTGCTGGCAGGAGCTGCTGGGCCAGGGGCACTTCCTGGAGGGAAGGGGCTATGGGGGTGAGTACCAACACAGCTCCCACCCTCATCCGCCAGCAGAGAGAGGGGACCTGTCTCCCCTGGTGTTTCAGCGCCATGCCAGGCTCACGTGTGTCACCAATCTGTGCCATGGGCATACCTGGGACAAGCTGGGCATTGCCCCCATGGTCAGGGAGGGACCTGAGGGCAGAGGTGGGATGTGAGGTGTCCATTTCTGGGGTTACTGGCCACGGTCACTCATCTTCCCTTGCTGCACACTGTGGGGTGCCCTGACCACTGTCTAAGTGTCAGTCCAGAGCTTCAGCCCCTGCTCTCCACAGCCTGCAGGGTGACCTGGGCCTTGTCCCTGTCCCCACTGCCACCTGACAGCCACTCACACCACAGCTCCCCAAGAGCCCTGGGCCTGTGCTGCCAGAACGGGGAGCCAGCCTTCCAGAAATCCCAAATTCCCCTTGGGCCTCACTGATGGACACACGGGCCCCGTTCCAGCAGCTCGATGTGACTCTGTAAATTCCTGCTGTGCTTTGCAGGGAGCAGGAAGGTAAGAGAACATGGAGCACCTGCAGCTGCCCTGAGGCCAAAAGCTGATCAGAACCACTCCAATAACCGGCGGCTTCTTTCCCTTCTCTCTGTCCGTACCCTGTGTGCTCTGTGAAGAGGAGTGCGTGGAGGAAGGTAGGAGTTGCACCTGCAAGGACCAACAGCTGAGAGCTGGAGGTTCAGTGTTTTGCTGGGGAGGTTATGGGGGGTCAGCTCCTGGGCTGCAATGGGCAAATCATATACAAGAAAGGCAGATGGGACCACGTTCGAGATTCCTGCACCTGAAACATCAGTAGGGTCAAAACCAGCCTGAGTTTTCTCAGGATCTCTTTTGTCAGAGTGATCCCTTGACTCAGACCAGGGCTGGCAATGCTGGACATGGCTGTTTGCAGAGGTGTGATCCCAAATCCCAACGAGATCTGGAGCCTCTGCTGAATGTGTGACAGTGATGTTCAAACTCCAACCCCCACCTGCCTCAGCCTGATGGAGACACAATCGTGGCACGGGAGCTGGGCTGGGCTGGGCAACTCCACTGGGCTGGACTGGGCTGGGCTGGGCTGGGCTGGGCTGGACTGGGCTGGGCTG